CTCCCCGGCTTTGCTCCAGGTGTCCCTGGTCTGCTGGAGACGGTCCCCAGCAGACCAGGGGCACCCGGAGCAGCTTTCCTCGCCCTGGAGGTCGAGGTGGCGGGACCGCTGCGCTCTGGGCGCAATCCGCCACCTCGACCTCCGGGGCGAGAAAGCCCCGTTTGTAAGTGCAGATCCGCGTAAGTCGGGGACTGCCTGTAAATGTGTAACCATGTAACTGCTGAAAGTTTCAGTGGTTACACAGTTACACGCCCCCACAGCATGGGACAACAGTCGATTCTTGGCATACACCAGTGGCGCACATAAGCTGCTGCCCACCAGCCCTGCTTCCAGGGAGCCAGCTGCTGCTCCATACTGCTGCCTCCAGTAGAGAGGCAGCAGTGCAGGGTGGCAGCAGCATGGGGCAGCAGCCAGCTACCCACCCAGGAGCAGGGCAGGAGCCTGCATAAACCCATTAACGGTAACCAAGAAGCTCAGGCTTATTGGTTAACTCAGGGTGACTCAACTTTGGAAGCCCTAGGGGCCACAAGGATACTCACAGCACATGCTGAGAGCCACAACTTAAGTGTGGTTGCATATATACATGCAAATATATATGCAAATAGCTTCTTTCACACTGACAGGAATGAATACACAGATTAAGGCAAGACTACACAACACACAGGCCCCATCTACTGATATTAATAAAATGCAATAGTTACCCGATTTCCACCCATATAACAGCACTTTTAATGATCTAGTCCGGGAATTTAACTACTAAACTGCATATCAACAGAAGACCATTATATTGACTTGCTAATGTGGAATGTGTTCCCAGTGGAGGCCATATTCAAAAAGATCCTACCCATAGGCCATGTGTTGATCCCCGCATAAACCCAAACTGCACCATGGGCCGCAAACAAATGGGTAGTGGGCCGCATGTTGAGCAGCCCTGGGTTAATCGATAAAATGATTATATTTTTACATCCCTACTGTGTGGCTCTCGAAAGAAGCACATAAGGTGAATAGGTTGGTTTAAATGGAAAGAGAATTAGTACATGGGGTCAAAATGTTCCATGTGGGCATGGCATAACCTTGTCTGGATGAAAAATTGTGTGTGCTGGGTATGCTTCAAATTTCAATAAGCAACCAGGCGGAGGAGACAGCAACAAAAAATACTGTTTTCATCGATAAATGAACATAGGAGCACAGTGTCACTGGTTCAAATGGCAGTCTAGTTACAGGATAAAGGATGAGACCATGGTTCCAAGCCAGGCTCGGATCCCATTTGTGTGGGTAAAGATTTTGGAGGACTTTCCCAAATTGTTTCATGAGTGGGTGGGTGAGAATGGCACAAGATGGGGTGATGTGCATGTACAGTCTGTTAGCACTGCTAATGAAGATCTCCAATCCCGCGTACAGAGGGTGCTGCCACACCTACATTAGAATAAATAATGAAGTTATGCTTGGAATTTCTCAAATGTGTCATCTGTTTCCGTCTACCCACCCCTAGCCATCAACATGTCCTGCAAAAGTGAAGGCCTGGCACCAAGGATACGTGTGTGGCCAGTGATCTTCTGGATTATTTGGTTGCCATTGTTTCTTATAGCAACTTTTTTAGGAGACAAAAGAGAAAAGGCTACTGTTAGTCCTAAGTAACATGGAGGGTTTGACTCAAGAAGCAAGTTTGATAAAGCTAGTATGCAGAAGTGTCTATATAGATAACGTCCTTGCACAGGGAAAACCATAACATGTGGTAGCTGTGCAAAACTCAATTTCAAGCAGATTTAAGATGAAAGGGAGTTCATTACAAATAGCCAGCAGAAAATAATCAGTTATAATACATGCAAGTGGCACCCAAGAACATTTAAAAGTCACAGTAGGTGAACTTGAACAAAGAACCAAAAGAAGCGGAGAAGCAAACAGAAAAAAAGCCACTATTGCAATTACACTGCAAGGTAACAAGAATTTATCCAGATTGAAGGAGAAGTGAGAGGCCTCAAAGGCAGTCTACTTTGACAGATAAGAAGAATGCTGATGAAAAAAAAAACAAGACAATCCCTTAAAGCCCATCAAAGAGAATCATGAGTTAATGCTTCTGCCAGGCCACAACATGAGATAAAGGTCAATTTTAGAGTTAGTTTTCCTTTTTACACACTTAAAAAATAATTTTTTGCATTATATACCAGGGTATAATTTTGCCTCAGCGAAGAGAAACAAAGTAGCTTCTCAAAGAATTAAAAAACACTACATATTGTTTCTAACCACACAGAAGAAGAGAAATACTATAGGTATCTAATGTAAAATCAATGTGGAGAGTTTCTTTTATGAACCATTTCTTACATTTTGTAAAAAGTAGCGGACATCAGAAAAATGCAGTGGCAACTAACTTTTTTATAAGGCCATTTATTAAATAATAATGTTGATGTGTACAAATATGCAGTTTAATGTATACTTTGAATAAAGCAAATAACAAAATTCAACAAGTTAGCAGTTGGGTTGGAATGAGTGAAAAGAAAGGATATGATCCAGAGTGATCATAAGTAACGTTTCTGATTTGAGAAAAGTTAAAAGAACCATCTTTACCATATTGTAGCCAACTGAGCCTGTGGTAAACTTGATTGCATAAGGATAGTTCTTGCTTGTGGACCTAACAAATTAAAAAAGGGTTAAGAAATAATCAAACATTCATTCTCAGAACAGAGCTCAGTTTTCAGAGTCTGACCTGGAAGATATCAGACTGAACTACTACTACTGCTGCTAAGAAAAAATTGTTACGGTGCACAAGAGGTATGTTATTTTAAAAGAATATCTAAGGGTATGTCTACACTGCAACATTATTTTGAAATAACTAACGTTATTCCAAAATAACTTAGTCTGTGTCTACACAGCAGTCAGTTATTTCGAAATAGTATCAAAATACTGTCAAGCTGGAGGACTTCTTACTCCAACACCTGTAACCCTCATTGTATGAGGAATAAGGGAAGTCGGAGGAAGAGTGCTCTATTTTGAAATAAGAGCTCTGTAGATGCTCCCTATTTCAAAATAAGCTACTCAATTGACATAGCTCAATGTGAGTAGTTATTTTGAGCTAAGCCCTGCTGTGTAGATACACCCCAAGATTAAGGAACACTGAAATGATTAGTAATCTCACATTTGATGTATCCTTACCCATGGCAGTGCTCTTTCGAAAAAAGGCGCTATGTAATGCAAACTGTGCTTTTTTGAAAGAGAGCATCCACACTGCCTGGCTGCTCTCTTTTGAAAAAGTGGCTTGCTTTTTTGAAAGTACTGATTGTAGTCTAGACGCTCTTTCAAAAGAGCCTTGCAGTCTAGATGTAGCCTGAGTGTGTGGTCTGAAGAGAAAGCTCATTGTTGATAGCTTACCAGCCAAGTGAAAGTATTAATCATTTTTCAGCACTGTCACCCAGCAAGCCTCCTCAGCTGCTTCGTAAGTTGTCAACAAGTAGTAAGGGGAAGAAGAACTACCTCATAATTATGAGATGCATTTCCTCTTTGGGTGGTCAGTGGGGATCAGGAGCTCTGTCCAACTGGACCAGGAGGATAAGTTTTTAAAAAAAGAAAATTAAATTCTGAGGATTGGCTCTCAGAGTTTAAGATCAGAAAGGATCACCCTTACAACAGAACAATGTGAAAGCAGAAGTGAGGGAAAGAAAAATAATTAGCAAGAAGTTAAGGGAAGTCACAGGTGCCTGTACCTCTCATCCTGTACAAAGGGCTTTGGACCTCCCTTCCCTGCCCTGGCCCACTTTACGAAGAGCCTGTCTACACATGGAAGTTAACATGCAGCAAACTATGACGTGACTTTACAGCACACTAGATGCTCTGCATTAAAGAGCATGAACAAGAACACTTTTAGTGTGTAGCATGTCTGCTTCAAATTCATGCACAGTAGATAGTGTGCCATAAATTCGCATCCTACTTTGCCCCATGCTAACTTCCCTATGTAGACAAGCCCTTAGTAGCAACCACTTACAGTTAATCTGGGGTATATGTCTACACTACAGCGCTAATTCGAACTAACTTAGTTCGAATTAGTTAATTCGAACTAAGCTAATTCCAACTAATGCATCCAGACTTAAAAACTAGTTCGAATTAGCGTTTTGCTAATTTGAACTAGCATGTCCACATTAAGTGGACCCTGAACCGGGGTTAAGGATGGCCGGAAGCAGTGCCGGCAGGGAATCAGATGAGGACTTCGAGCGTGGAGCTGCTGTCTCAGGCTAGCCGAGGGCTGTGCTTAAAGGGACCCGACCCCCACCCCAGACAGACAGTTCTCAGGGGTGCCCCGCTTGCAAAGCAGTCCTGGCTTGGAGTGCCGTGAGTGCCCACACTGGGCACATCACAGCACTCGGCCATCAGCCCGGCTGCACTTGCCGCAGGCTGCCATCTGGGGAGAGGGGGCAATTGGGGGGCTGCAGGAGAGCTTCCACCCCCAGAAGCCCGCAGAGCCAGCCCAGTCCTCCCCATTGGGGGCTCGTACCCCATTCCTCCCTCACCTCCTTCACTTACCCTTCCCTAGCCCCCCTTCCTGATGTA